CAGGAGTACTAGCCAACCCCCCCCATCCCTCTCCTGCTCTCAGCACCTGCTACAGCCCAGGACAGCTGGAGGGTTGGGGGCAGGACTAGTTCCCCTGCACCCCATGGCCCTGGGTGCAAGGAAGGGGACACAGGGCTCGGCGCTGTCCCTAGAGCTGGGGGGGGGCAGGGGAGGGCTCTGCTTTCCCCATCCCCCTCAACAGACACTTACAAACACACACAGAGAAAGGAAACCATAACCTTATAAAAGACACCGAACGCAAATGCCTGCATGTTTGGGGGCAGCCCCGGGCCCGTCGCCGCCTCGGCTCCCCCCGCGCCCCCCGTGAGCGGCCAAGCAGGCTTGCTGTGTGGGGCCGAGCGGCCGGTGTCCCTCCCTCGGCGCCTAGGAGCCGATGATCTGGCCGGACCATGTCTCATGCTTCGTGTGGGGCGCCAGGTTGGTGAGGACCACCTCCACCGCCTGAAACTTCTGATTCTTGGGAGGGATGGGGCAGACCTTGTACGTCACCTCGTCCCCCTCCACTGGGACATACTCCCCCTCAATGCTGCGGGAGAGGAGAGGAGAGGTGGTGGGGCTGGGGCCAAGAGGCTGCCCCCCACCCTGGACCACCCAGCACCAAGGAAGGCACCCGACCCACCAGCTGCGCCTTGGGAAAGAAAACCCACCAGCGAGGTTGGGCTAGAGGACAGGCAGAGCCCCAACCCCACACCACCCCAGCCCATGGGTTTCCAGCCCCATGGTGATGGCACAGCTCCCCCAGGGGTGTCCCGGCACTGTGCGACCCCTGACTTACTCAGACACGTGGACGAAAATGTCCTCTGTGCCGTTCTCGGGGGTGATAAACCCGTGTCCCTGGGAGCGAGAGAACTGCTTGCAGACACCCTTGAAGATGGGGCCGGCAGAGGCACGTGCTGTCCTGCAGGAAAACGGACGGAGATGTCTCATTGGTGGCACTCACCCGGGGGGTAGCACAGGGAGAGATTTGCTATGAAAACATGGCATTCCCTGGGAGAGTGCATGGCACCCACCCAGAGTGGGTGCGGCGATGCTGGGATGGCGACATGCACCAGGCATAAAGGGTTTTACAGGTGCTGCTGGTGACCGCGGTCCCTTCTCGGCTCAGCCGGACAGTGCTGACCCTGCTCGCTGCGTGCCGGGTACTTACGCCGAGTAGGTCCTGGTCCTCTTGGTGGGGAGGGGGCTGGGCAGGTCCTGCAGCAGGGGGTTGCCCCGCTCCCAGATGCGGCTGCCCTCCCGCTGGAAGGGGAAGGTGGGCCACACCGGCGACTTGGGGGAGTGCAGGGGCGGCACCGCCGGCGGGGCGCTGGGGTCCGATGACATGGTGGGACCGGTGGGCTCCTCCGTTTTGGGGACAGGCGGGTGGGCGGCAGGCAGGGGGGGGGTTTGGCAGGGTCACTTTGCTGTCAGGAATTGCCCACTCCGCTCCCGGCCCCATGTCTGTGCGGGCAGGCAGCATGCTGCTGGCCTTCGGTACTGGCCACCAACCCCTGACACTGGGAAGCCTGTCCAGGATGTTCCAGCAAATGAGTCCCGAGGGAAGGAAAGAGTCTAGTTTGCTGCTGCATCTTTCATTTTCCAGGATAATCCCACATCTTGGAGATGAAGTCACTAAATCAGCAGGTGCCCTGGGAGAAGGAGGAGCTGAGGATGGGCTGCTACAGGCAGGGACCATTTTGGCAAGGATGCCCATGCTGCGCCAGCATGCCCGGTCCTCCAGCCCTGGCCTCTGAGCTCTCCCCCAACTCAAGACTTCTGCTAAAACAGTGAAGGAAAAAGTCTGAGACAACAGGTAGGTCAAGGCCAAGGGCCTGAGGTCTCCCCACTGCTGGAGGTTGCCTCAGCACTATGGGATTTAGGACCCAACCCCAGCCCCAGCCAGCGGCTTGCTGCCTGCCTGAGCACATCCCTATAGGGAAGGGACACCGGGAGGCCACTTTGGGGCCGCTGGCAGCACACACACCCCTTGGGCATCTCAGATGAGCCACGACACAAGCACAACCTCCTACCGCTGCAGTCATTGGGATCCAGTTTTTGGCTGGTATTGTGCGGTTTGCAAGGAGTTAAAGCCCCATGGGGCAGAAACCCACAACCTTTGGCTGCAGGAGGATGGCCAGGTCGCCTGCCGAAGAGCAGGAGCCAGAACAAGTGTAGGTATGGCTGTCCTCACCGAACCACCTCCAGCATGAAACTGGGGGGGGGGGGAGTTGTGCATTTTTAAGCCTCGCAGCTAGATGGTCTGGTGCGTGATCAGCACGGTGGCCGCTTCCTCAGAAAGCCTTTGCTCTGCCAATTTCTCTTCCCATCAGTTGCTGCATCTGATGCCAGGTGCCTCTGTCTTGGAGTGCCCCTTGCCAGCAGCTGCCTGGGGGCACCGCTCTCTGCGGCCGCTGGGTGGGGGCTCACCCATCTCCATCACCCCTCAGGCTTGAGGGTTTCCCCATCACCCAGAGCTGAGGAGCCTGACATCTCTTGGAGTTACCGTCCCCTTCCCTGCCACCCCCTCCAGCCATTCTTGCCCCGCTGGGGCGTGCGGCATCTTTTGGGGTGACACCTGCACGCACCGGGAAACCCAGAGAATATTTAATTTGGTTTCTGACTCATCTGTGGCCCCTTGAGACGCAAGAGGCCCTGGGGGGATATGCAAAAGGGGGTCACCTCCGCTCCCAAATTAGCAGGCACCAAGGACTTGGGAAAAGGTTTCTAGAGCAGATGAAGTTTCAGGGAGGGACCAGGCAACTCCTGTTCCCCTTACCCACCTCCGCTTGCTTCCCCTGCCAGGGGGTCTGCCTGCCGCCGAGTCCTGACCACTGCCAGTCCCACCTTGGTGCCCATTCCCACCTTAGCTGTTTCCTAACATCTGCCCCCTCTCAGCCCTGCAAAGCTTCACCCCGAGGTCCAGGCAGCAGAGGCCACACTGCAATCCCACCCCATGTCCTCCTGCCCTCTGAGACAACTTCCAGCTGCAACAGCAAACCCCTCCAAAAGGTCTCTCCCATCCGCCCCCTCACCAAACCCTTCATGCGCTTCAGTGGCTCCTCTCTGCCATGAAGCAAGTGGATTGCATGCACCTGCCTTCTGCTCCACAGCCCACCCGCTCTGAGGCTTCTCGGGTCCTGGCCTGCCGGGCTCAGCATCTCCTGCCCCCATGCCCGAGCTCAGCACCTCCTTCTCCCATTCCCAGGCTCTGCATCTCCTTCCCCTATGCCTGTGCTCACCACCTTCTCCCCCCATGCCAAAGATGGAGAGGCTCAGGGAACATCCAAGCAAGACACCCAAAAGCCGGGGCAGCCACCAAGCTGCTTCTCTGCTCCCATCTGTGCCCCTCATCTGACCACTCTGCCTGTGCTGGCGAGCAGCCTGGGAGCTCTTGGGCAGCAAAAAGCAATGTGGTCTCCAAGCATTGCCGCAGGATCCGGCACCTTCCCAGGAGGTGTCAGGGCTGGACCAGCAGGACAACTTGGGGGAGGCGGCCCTCAGTTCTCTGCCACATCATGGAGCCGCCACTATGAAAATGGCTTCACCACCAGGGCGTGCGCGTTTTCTCTGACAAGGCCTTTCAGTTCCCCCACCAGATTACAGACAATGGAGGGTATTTAACCTGAATAACGTTGCTTGGAGCAAACTATTAGTATGCTGAGGGGGTCGGTTGGCACCAGGAGAAAGAGCTTCCTCCAGCGGGTCCAAAATGGAAATTTCCCAGAGGCAAAATAAAACTAAGAGGCGAAGGGGAAGGGGCATGCAAGAGGGGGAGCCTTGCAGGGACAAAATGGCATGGGCAGATGAAGTGGCAACAGAGAGTGGGTTTGCCCCAGCTTCACCCATGGGACCAGCCCAGGCCGGGGTGCCCTGGAAGGCCCCCTGCTTCGGGGGACAAGCGGTGGTGGGGAACTGGGCATGCTGGGCATTGCTGGGGGTGAGGAGGCAGCCAGCCCGCTCCCAAGGCCCAAGGGAAGGTGCCCTCTGGGATGCCATTTGCCCCCAGGAGCTGAGTTTGCCCTATGTGGCAGAACAAGCCAGGCACAACCGCCCCTGGGCACTTTGCGGGGCTGCGGCTGGCCCACGGGGATATGGGGGAGAGCCCTGGCACAGGGTGGCAGCTCAGGGGGATGAACATGGGGACAGGGCACAGCGAGGATGTGGGACCCCCATCCTCGGGGGTATGCAGCCCCCCACAGACACATCCCTCAGCAGCCTGTGCTAACGGAGGCATTGCACCTAACTCCTGCCTGGAGCGGGGGCTGGAGCAGAGACCCCCATCCATTACATGTCCGTGCCAAAGCTGGCTCCCATGGCCAGCAGCGCTCTGCTCCACTCCACTGCCTGGCTTGAGCACCCCAAATTTGTGGGTCAGCCTTGGGGCCTGGCAGCTGAACACCTGGCGTTGCCAGTGCCAGTGAAGCTGAGGCTAAGCGGGAGCTCTGGCACCATGGGAGGCTCCGGGGCAGTATCCTGTCTCCCACCTCATTTAAATCCCTGCAGCAAACAAAGGGACCGAGGAAATTAAACTCATGGCAAAAGCAGGCTGGGAGAAGAGGGGAGAGGCGAGTGTGTCCTCGCCAGTGTCTTCTCCCCTCCCAGCCCAGCCAGAGACCAGGGAAAGCCTCTCTCGTCCTCTTGTCCTTCTCCTTCCCTCCCTCTGCTCCACCCCAACATCCTCTCTCCAGCCCTGAAACCACCTTTCTCCATGATGCAGCCCCAGCAGGCAACAAGGAGACGGCATCTGGAAGCACAGGAAGCTTTTTCCCCCCTCTCCTCCATCACTAGTGGTCACCCTAACCTCCCGCCGAGCCCGAGAGCATCTCTTCCCACCCTGGGTCTCTCCTGGCCTCGCAGACATCACCCATGACACCGTGTCCACCCCACGCACGTATACGGTGCAGGGATGAAATCTGGGTCACTTGAGGAGGAGACCAGGGGCTGCAGCAGCCCAGCTGTGCCGTGGGGCACGGGAAGCCTCTCCAGCGTAACCCCCCCCCTCCTCCCACCACCACTGCAGGACCTCCATCACGCTCCTCCCCATCTCCCCTCGGTGGCTTTGCTCTGAAGGTCCCCTGGGGTGACAGTCCTCTGAGGCAAGGACACGCATAAGCAGCACCAAGCCCAGTGCTCCCTGGAAGGATGCTCTTTGTAAAAAACTCCCTGCCCCATCCATCTCTCCCCTTCCCCAAAGAAACCATATCGGATTGAAACCCCAGAGCCCTCTGGTGATAGGGTTTCTTTCAGCAGCAGCAGCCGGCTTTGCTTTTATATTTTTCGGAGGGCAGGCTTCCGAGACGAGCTGACAGTCGGCAGCGCTTGCAGGCGAACACACAAAAACCCAGGCCAATTAAGGCAGACAGGCAGTAGACACATCAGCTTTTATCTCGAGATCCAAGTACCCCATTCATCACCAGCCACTGAAAGGTCTGCGGTTTATCAAATAAAATCACTGTCTCTCTCCCTCTCTTTAAAGCCAAACACATTGACTTGGGTGCTGGCGCTGACCTTGTTTAACTAAACATCATTTCAAGGTCCCCCAAAGGGGGGAAGGAGCCTTTTGAAGAGGCACCAGCCTCTGTTTGCCACTCCCCGTTCATTAGCGGCGAAGAAAACCCCCTCTACACATCCCTCAGCCAGGCGGGGGAATACATATTTAATTGGCTTAATCGCCCTCGGCAAGGCGGCCCTCCCGCGCAGTGTTTCTTTGTGCTCCTTCCCATCCATTGGGACCCCTGGGCTGCCCAGGACAGACAGACAGATGGAAGGATGGACGGATGGATGGATGGATAGATGGATGGATGGTTGGGCAACCGCTCTGCTGGCAGCTGTCACGCTCCGGCTGCAGGACGTGACCCTTCGGCTGGCTCGCCTTTATGGGCTGTTTCCTTTCACACCGCCACGTCCCTTTGCAAATCCCTGGGGCTTGGATGCTGTCTGCCACCACGCTCGGGTCTCTGGAGTGCTGCCGCTTCCCCCACCCCAGCCGAGGAGCTGGAGGTTATTTTCCCTCTGCTGCCTTTTCCAGCAAGCTCCCGTGCTGGCTCTTCCCTGGCGCACACCATCACGTTTTCTCCATCCCTCGCGACTGCCTCAGTTTAGGAGTCAGGTTTACCTCCCGGCTCCTTCCACCCCAGTGGCAAAAAGGTCTCAGTGTGTCAAAAAGACACCCCCATCTCTGCAGCCGGCAGCCATCTCCTCACCCAGGGAGCAGGGAAAGCAATGTTCTGGCCTGCCGCCATCCTCAGGGAGGCTGATGCCCCCCCAGACCCAGCCTGTCTAGACACGGGCTGAAACAGAGAAGACATACTCCCTCCCAGACACGGGAGCGTGTCCCCAGAGCTCGATGCAAAACCAAAAATCCCATTTTTCAGCTGCTTTGGCACACGCAGGCA